TCTAGCCCTGCTCGCCAGAAAGACCCCCCCCTTCACTACAACCCATGTCTAAGCAAAAGCTTGTCGAGGAGCGAGGGGAAGAAGGGAGAAGCCGTTGGCGCGGGCCGTTGTGCCCTCTCTAGCTAGTACTATTGTCCAACTGCACGCAAGGTCAACTCAACGTGTCCCCTTCAAAAGGACGAACTGACAAAGAGGATCAGAACATACCGCGTCATGCGCGAGTTTGTCGAGTTGCCGTAGCTCCGGGTCGGTGAAAGATGGCGCGCGGAGGGCGAACGACAGGAGAGACGCCCGTTTCATAAGCTCCCGCAGCGCCTCCAAGACCTTGTCGTACGTTCCCCACTCCGTGACGAGGTCCTTGATCTCCCGTGTCATCATGTTTCTCCTCTGGCAGGTAAACATCATGGCCGGGATGAGTCATGACAGAGCAGCGAACAAGGGCCGAGGTGTCTCCCAGTACCGTGGTTAGGTGCCGCCCTTTGACGCACCTAAAATGCTAACCCTCTGCGTGGGCAGTTAGAGTGAGGCACGCCGAGTTTCGCCCGTGCGTGTGGATCTGAGCTGCTGCTGTGATTCCACTTCGAAACAACTTTCGAAGCTACACAAATGATGAGTGTTCCACTTCTGCAAACAGATAGGCGTACACAATTTCGAGAGGAGGGGTGCCGTGCACCGCGCACGTGCCAAGAGTACCGGGTGAAGTTATGGTCACGCTTCTCGTGCTCTAGCCAGGGAGGGGTACGAAAACGAATGTATATAGCTCTGTAAACTGAAAAAGCATTGCGGCGGGAGAGATATTCCGTTCGGCGGGATATAACTCTTGAGCACATGCATGGATCGTATGCAATACTACGTGTTGGCTGATCTCGGGAACAACGCATGCCCGACTACGCTACAAAATGTACTCACCATTGCCGAAACATCCTGGAGAACCATCCGGAATATGAGAAGAATGATCGATTGCAGTGTCCACTTGTCGCTGCCATTCAGAGAAGCGTAGTTGGTCACGACATCCTTCAGCTTCCGTGTTCCGGGTGGGTAGAGTAAAGACGGCTTCTGGGCCATGATGGCTGAGACAAGCCGGCGACCTGTAGTGGAGAGCATCTCCAAGAAGAACACCTGGCAAAGCTGACTTTGCCCCTACCGGCAACGGTGGTGGGATGCCGCGCAGACAAGGAGAGAACGCAACCCTTAGCCGACGAAGTGATCCTGTCGGCGATCACAACAACCGTCGTTCTACTATTTACTGAAGTGCATGCGTCGGAAATTTGAACCTCTTGAGGACGGCGTATAATCTTCCGCTTGGAGACGTCGTCAACGTGTGTCCCCTGGGGGGTTTCTCACATGCAGGGTAAACTTGTGTACATCACTCACCAGCGCATCGAAGTGCAGTCG